TTAAAAAAAAAAGGAAATTAAAAAAAAAAAAAAAAAAAAGGAAATTTCAATGAGTCCATTCAGCCCCAAGCAGGACATAACAGAGTGGGAGGGTTTGTAGAAAAGACAATTTATTTCTTTAGGGAAAGGGCACAGGGAACCAACCCCAGTGATGAGGATGGGACTCGATGGGACTCGAGGCGACTTCTTCCTTCTCCACCACTCCCAAGCGGTGGGATTGGGTCCTTCCCACCCCCAAAATGAAATTCCCAGGGGTGTTGCTTCTCCTCTGGCCGCTCCTGGGCCCGTGGGAGGGGTGGAGGTGGCTCCCTGGGGTGGGTTGCAGTGTCGTGGTCTCTCCGCCGTGGCTCGGTGCCGGTGGCCCCTCAGTACAGGGGGCCCTTGACGGCGCCCGGCTCTGGCAGGCGGGCAGCAGCGTATGCCGAGGCTCCCAGGCAGGCAGCTGGCTCACAGAAGCCGGGCAGTCCCGTGGGACCGGGCAATCCCGGCCTCCCAGCCTCTCCCGGGGAACCAGGCAGGCCCCGCTCGCCCGCTTTGCCATCCAGAGCGTGGCCGGGGATGCCGGGGGGACCTGCAATGGGAATGGGAATCTGGGGGGGGGCTGAGCCCTGGGAAGGAGGGGCTAGAAATGGGGAAACGCTGCAGGTGAGGATGGGGATGTGTTGGCAGAGCCAGGGGGCAGGAAAGGGGTGGGGAAAGGCACAAAAAAGAGCAAGGAGGGAGCAAAGGATGCCGCAGGGAGGAGGTTTGTGGGATGAACGTGGGCAGGTTTTGCGGGACGGAGCAGAAGGTTCAGAGCCGCTCCTGGGCTCGCCGTCCCACCAGCAAGGGGCATCCAGGCCTGTCTGTGCCGGGCACAGAGGGACTCACCTGGGATCCCCGGGGGACCCGGCATTCCTGGGTGGCCACGGCCAACTTCCCCCCGCTCACCCTTCTCCCCTCGCTTCCCTGTGGGAAGAGACAGGGAGGGATGGAATTGATGGAATAACAGACCCTGGATGGGATGGGAGGGTGGGGATGCCCCTGCTCAGGGTTGGAGGGGGCAGAGGAGGCAGGGCCAGCCCCGAGGAGGAGTTTGGTACCCACCTTTAGGTCCTACGTTGCCGATCTGGCCGGCAGCTCCCAGAATCCCAGGGACGCCTCGGGGCCCCATGGGGCCGTGTGGACCCTGCTCACCAGGAGGCCCTGGGGGACCAGGGGGCCCAGGGGGTCCCACGGCGCCCACTCCCCCCAGGGCAGCTCTCTTGGCACTGACCGCAACCTCCGCCAGCTGCTCTGTGGGGCAGAGAGAGGCCGGGGTGGGGTGGGATGGGATGGGATGGGATGGGATGGGATGGGATGGGATGGGATGGGATGGGATGGGATGGGATGGGATGGCTGCCACCTGCCTGGCAGTGCCCTGCTCCCCCCTCACCTTGCAGCATCTTCAGCACCACGTCGACGATGTGCTGGTCCCCGGCGTCCCGGCCCTGCCAAGGGACAGGCCATGAAGGGACATCGCTCCTTCTGTCCCGCAGAGCCACTCCCATCCCAATCCCCTGGTCCAGAGCATTCTCCCTCTGCATCCAATGGCACCTTCCCACCCTCCTCTCTTCCCTCCTGTCCCAGTGCAGCTGCTCCAGCCTCAGCTCACACTGCTCATGGCATTAACTTCCCTCAGCCACGTTTTTTGAGCCTAAAAAGAGGTTTATACGGAAAAATCCCCACCCCAGGGAGGCTGCAAAAGGCCACCTTGGAGCTAAACCTGCTGCTGGATGGTTTATGCATGGATGGTTTATGGATGGTGGTGAGAAATAGGGAATTCTTCTTTCCTAGGAAGGCAGGATCCCGGCTCAGACCTCTTGGAGAGCTTGGCAGCCCCTTGAGTGGAAGAGCAGCCACTTCCCAGAGGAATTGGGTGGGAAGAAGAGGTCAGAGGCAATTCCCCTGCAGGACTGGAGGAGCTGGAGGCAGCAGGAGGTGAGGAGGGCGTGGGGCTGGGGGGCACTCACCGCTAGGCCCCTCTGGCCGGGCATCCCTGGCACTCCACGCTCCCCCACCAGCCCCCGTGGGCCGGGGGGGCCGGGGTAGCCCCTCACACCCGGCGCTCCAGCGTCCCCCGAGGGGCCAGGGAAGCCCAGGTCGCCCTGGATGCCTTGCTGCAAGGGAGGGAGAGAACCTTCAGGAGCTCAGCCCTGTCCTGGGCACAGAGGCTGCACCCTGAGACCCCAAAGATGCCCCTTATCAATCACTGCAGTTGGGGGCTGAACCCCAGGCAGGGGCTGAGCCCGAATCCAGGGCTGAGCGGGGTCACTGCAGCCCAATTCCAGGGAAAATACCCTGTCAGGCCACCAGTGTGCAGCACACAGCAGCTCCATGGAGCACCAGGCTGGGAGGATCAGCTGTGGCTGAGGGTCCCTCCGAGGAGCCCCCCAGCACCGAGGGGTGGGGAACCCCAAACCCCCCCGTGACTCACCTGTCCCTTTGGCCCTGGCTCTCCTGATTCACCCTGGGGACAGAGGACACAGGGAAGGCAATGGAGAGTGAGGATCACCCCGGAGAGGCAGCTTGGGGGGATGCATGTGTACCCCCCCAGAGAGCTGTTCTGGGATGTGCTGCTGTGGGACCGTGCTGGGCAGGAGACCCCACAGGGGCAGGGAGGGACCCACATCCACCCCGTGTCCCTCCACCCCACCCCAGGACCCACCTTCTCTCCCTTCAGCCCCGCCAGGCCGTGAACACCAGGGTCTCCCTAGAGGAAAAGCAACAGCAGAGATGAACCTTCCCCACCAGCACCCACCCCCTCTGCGGGAGAAACCCCCTTTGGACACGGAGTGTTCCGCTGGGATGTGAGGGAATTGTGGAGGATGTGCTTGGAGCCAGCCCTGTTCATCACGGGGTCAGCCTGGGCAGGGGGGGGATGTACTCACAACGCTGCCTTTGGGGCCAGTTTTCCCTGGGGAGCCCTGGAGAGAGGAGAGGGGGCTCAGCCCAGCTCAGGGCACGTTCCCAGAGCTGGGCCCTGAGCAGGCAGAGCACTCACTTTGTCTCCTTTGAATCCTGGCAAGCCTTGGGGTCCCGGGATCCCCGGGGGGCCCTGCTCGCCCTTCTGCCCCTGGGAATCAAGGGAACACAGGGGGAAAAGGGAAAAATGAGTGAGAAGAGGCAAAGGGAAGACCTTCCTCCCCCATCAGAGCATCCTCCCCCAGGCCATGGGATGCATGAGCAGCTCCCAGTTCCCTTCAACAGCTCTGGCTGCCCCCCCAGCATCCCAACCTCCCCCAAATCCAGGCTCCGAGGGGGAATGGGGCAGAGAGTGACGGAGGAGCCTCCCCCCAGGCTGTGCCAAGAGGGAGAATCATGCAGGGATGGGATCCTGTCCTGAGAAACAGGGACAAAGGTCATTTTTGGGCCATTTTTCCACCCCGGGGGCCCAGGCAGCCTCTCCCACCTCCCTGGGCTGGGAGGAAATTCCTCTCCCTGCTGGGGCTGCAGAGCCAGCGTGGTCCCAGCGCCACTAATCCCTGAGCTATTTGCCCCAGGTTAATCCCTCCCCACGGGGCAGCCAAGGCCAGGCTGGACCAAAGGAGAGCTCCAGCTGTGTCCCACTGACCCCTCAGCCCCTCCCTGGGCTCAGCATCCACGGCAGAGCCCCCAGACCCCCGGGCTGAGCCCTCCCTGTGCCCAGCCTGGCTGTGGGCACAACTCACCACTCTGCCCTGCTCCCCCTGGGGTCCCACGAGGCCACGCTCGCCACGGTCACCCTGTGGACACCCAGGACATGGCAGAGTCAGGGGCAGCTCCTGGCACAGCCAAACATCCCCCCCCAGTGCCCCCTGACTCACCTTCAGCCCAGGGACACCCTGCGGGCCCTGCTCGCCCCGAGGGCCAGGCTCGCCCTAAAACAGAGGCAGAATCACCCAGGAATGCTGCTGCTGCTCCTGCATTCCTGGGCATCCTTCCCGAGGGACTGTCCTCTCCCCTGCAGCCACTGGTGGCCGAGGAGGTGATGGACACAGGGAGCAGTGACCCCCTGAGGGGCAGAGGGGGGATAAACTGCCCAATTCCACTTTTGGTTTGACAGGAAACAGGGAAAAAGAGAGAGAGAAAAAGAGAGAGAGAAAAAGAGAGAGAGAGCAAGAGCAGCCCCGAGGCTGTGCCCAGGGGGGACACGGTGACATTCGACATTCTGTACTTACAAGCTGCCCTGGGGCACCGGTGACGCCAGGCTGGCCACGGGCACCCACTTCACCCTGTGAGGAGACAGAGGTGGCTCAGGGACAGCAAGGACGGGCAGGGGACAGCACGGGGACAAGGCTGAGGGCACAGAAGCCGTGGGGTCACGGGGTGGGTGCTCAAGCGGGGGGTACCCACCTTGTCTCCTGGGCCACCTTTGCTTCCTGGCTGGCCTGGCAAGCCCTGGGGAAAGCAAGCTGGGCTCAAACCCCGGGCACGGCACCGCAGGCACTGTCCCTGCTGGGCACTGGCCCCACCACCGCCCGGGACAGGGGTGTCACCCCACAGCTGAGGGGGTGCCCGCCCGGTTTGGGGGTGCCCACAACACTCACAGCTTGTCCCCGGTGTCCTGGTGTGCCGGGGTGTCCGGCCTGTCCCACGCTGCCCTGGGAGGGACAGAGAGAGTGTCACAGCTGGGGCAAAGAGGGGGGGGCACTGCCACTCCCCACCAGCCAGCAGAGCCAGCAGCAGAGCCAGGGGCTGGGGGATTATCCCACTTGCCATCCCTGCTATTCCCAGCGAGCACTGGCAGGAGGAGCAGGGTGTGCCCGTGCCCTGTGCAAGCACAGGCAGCCCCTGGCCCTGCTCACCTTCACCCCTGGGATACCCGGGGTGCCATCCTTGCCGTCGATGCCCGGCAGACCCTGCGACAAGCGGGGGAGAGAGAGTCACTCGGTCACCTCCGACAGGCACTGAGGGGCTCGTGGGGGGACAAAAAGAGGTGGGAAGGGAAAGGAAGGGAAAGCCTCAGCCCTGCCAGGGTGCAAGGACACAGGGTGGGGACAAAGAGGGACAGAGGGATCTTCTTGCCAGCAGAGGTTGGTTCCCAGATATGGGACCCAGCTGTACTCACATTCTCCCCCTTGGGGCCAATGTCCCCCTGGGGTCCCCTGATGCCACGGCCACCCTGCAGCAGGAGAGAGCAAAGTGTCAGGTCAGTGTCCCCCTGGGGCAGGGGTGGGGCTGGGAGAGGGAGGAGCCCCTCTCCACGTGGGGATAGTGCCAGGATGGGGCACGGGGGGCACTGGCACTGCCCGGGGCACAGCTCTGCCCCCCCGATGGGACAGGGGAGGGTCACCTACCAGCTCTCCCTTCTCACCAGGGTCCCCAGGTGGTCCCTTGGGGCCTTCCCTGCCCTGCAGGGGAGAAAGGCCAGGGCTGAGCAGGGAACTGGGGGGTCCCCGAGCCCCCAGGGGGAGGGGGGGCACTCACCGGCCGCCCGGCCGCTCCGACGGACCCCACCATGCCCTTGTACCCAGCAGGGCCCTGCAGAGAGAGCATGAAGGGGGGGGGGGGGTCAGTGCCTGGCACCCCAACCTCCAGCCCCACCCAGCAGGAGGCAGGTCCAGCACGTTGCTGATGATCCCAGGAAGCCCCTCCAGCCTGGGAATCGCTGCCCCCCCAGCACTCACCGCCTCGCCCTTGGGTCCTGCCATCCCAGGGTACCCCCTCGGGCCCTGAGGTCCCTGCAGGGAAAGGAAAGCACAGGCAGTTCAAGCTGCAAAGCACCCCCAGAGCAGCCCAGGGGGAGGCTGCAATTACAGCAAAACCCAGAGCTGGGAATCGGCCTGTTTTGCCGAACACGAGGTGTTTCGGTGCCCCCTAATTCTGCAGCCCCCCAGCAGGTGCTTTTCCAGCTGTCGATTCCATAACACTCCAGTCCCCAAACTGGAGTCTCTTGCCCTGCCAAAGCTCTGCTTCAAAGCAGTCCTGCCCTTTCCTGGACTGAGGGCTCAGCCCGTTAATTGCTTTTCATCTTCAAAGCGCTCAGGGAGCTCCTGCAGCTTTAATCCCTCCTGGCCCTGCCGTGAGCTGGGGGCTGTACCCCCCTCCTCAGGTGGGGTAAGGGGGGCTCAGGGAACAGGAGAGCTTTGTCCTGGCCCAGGAGTTATCCCTGTTAACAGCCCATGGAGGTCTCTGCTGGGAGAGATGGTGACATCCATGGTTGGGAGGAGGGAGATGGGTGGGCTGAAGGCTTTGCTGCTGTCCCAGAGCTGTGTGGGACACACTGGGGTTACCTCCCCGGTGTCTGGGGCCAAGCACAAACTCCCCCCACCCAGTTTCTGGGGCCCTGGGGGAGTGGAGAGGCAAAGAGAGGTGAGTGTGTTACCGCAGGGCCTGGGACTCCTTGTTCTCCAGAGGCACCGACGTCGCCCTTGGGGCCCTGGACAGGGAGAGAACTGAATGTCGGGGGGGATTGGGGGTAAAAACAGCCCTGGGGACACAAGACCCCCTCACCTGGGACCCAGCAGGGCATGGGGAAGGTGTCCCTGCCCAGGAAGCCACCGTGGGAAGCCCACCCTGTCCCCCTCCATCTCCCAGCCCCGGATTTCCCGCCTTCCTCTCCCACCTCTTTTCTTCTTTTTTTCCCCACTTTTCTTGCCCCAAAAGGGTCCACCCCCTGCTCCTCCAGAGGCAGGGACACCTGGATGCTGCTGGGAACTCACCTGCTCGCCCTGCCTGCCAGGCTCCCCGAGGGCACCGGGGCGGCCTCTGTGTCCCTGCAGGGTGAGGAAAAAGGTCATGAGCACCCCTGGCTGTGGCAGCATCCTGAGAACCACCCTGCCCACCTCAGCCCCACCCTGGGGTGCCCACTGGAACGTCCTGAGGCAGTGGCAGGGCTGGGACTGGGGCTTTGGCACAGGGTCCCACCCCCAGGAAAGGGTCGGTGGGAGCTGGGAAGCCACTCGAGGCGTCTCCCACGGCACCTTTGGCTTGGGGGCTCTCTGTGCAGGTGTGCCCTGGTGCTCCCAGGGGAGCAGGGCACTTCCTGAGCATCCTGTGGCTCCAGAGCAAGGATGGATCCTCTGTTCTGCCACAGCCTGCTGGAGGTGACGGTCCCTGTTCCCCCCCACCAGCAGCTCCAGGGCTCCCTTACCTTCAGTCCCTGCAGTCCCTGGGGGCCCTTGGGACCTGGGGGGCAGCTGGTCGGGCACTGGGGGGAAGAAGAAGCACAGGATGAGTTGGGGAAGGACCTGGAGGCTGTGGAGAAGCCGTGCTGGGAAGGACGGGCTCCTGTGCCACAGGGGACCCCCTGCTCACACCCCGGCTTTGCTGGGGACCCCGCTCCTCCCCAGGGACAGAATTCCAGGGGGGGCTGTATTCCAGGGCCCTGCAGAGTCCTGCTGGTGGGACAAAGCCATGACAGCTCTCACCAGGAAATCAGCGCTGCCTTCCAGTCCTTGGATGTGTCCCGGGAGGCCCTGGAGGGAAGGAGACCATCAGCATCCCTGGGTTGCTATCAGGATGATTTCCCAGGAGGCAGAGCCCAAGTCTTGGCCCCAGAGCCAGGGCTGAGCCTGGGGGAAGCTTCCCCCTCGTGCAGAAGGTGTTGGTGGCCGGGGGGATACTCACGGGTTTCCCTGGAGGGCCTGGGGGACCCCGGGGGCCGTCGGGTCCAGGGTCACCCTGGGAAAGAACAGACCCAGGAAAGGAGATGTCAGGGTGGGGAGGTGGCAGGTGCTTTCCAGGGCTGGGGTAGAGAGGGGTGATGGAGACCTGGAGAGCCAGGATGTCGCAGCAGGAACGGGGACGTCTCTGGGGTGGATGGCACAGAACTGCCATCCCTCCAGCCCCACCCTCCCACATTACAGCATCATCATCCCTGTTTGTTTGTCCCAGGAGCCCTGAAGTGCAGGGGGGCAGATCCTGGGGTAGGGAGGGGAGGTTTTCCCTGACTCCTCACCTTGGGTCCCAGCACCCCGATCTCTCCAGGAAGCCCAACTTGGCCTGGAAGCCCCTTAAGGAGAAGACAAACATTCCTTGAGGGAGAGAGGTCACCCCCCCCTAGGCCTCCCTTTGTGCCTGCTGGGATTTGAGCTCTCCCAGCACAATTCCAGGCAGGATCCCTGTTCGCCCACACACCCCCAAAACCCCCCAGTGTGGCACTCACTGGTGGTCCTGGCAGAGAAGGACCCTGGAAAAGGGAGAGAGAGAGTTGGTCTGAGTTCTCCAAGCCTCCAGCCCCGGCAGGATCCATGTCCCCAGCAGGGAGATGGCCACAGCTCCCCCAAGGGTGCAGCTGGGGTGGCTGGGGATGGTCCTGCTCTGCTCCCACCCCACGTGTGGCAGGAGTGGGCGCATCCCCTGCACCCCTGGGAGCAGCAGATACTCACGGGGAGCCCTGGAGGCCCTGGGAGTCCAGGCTGGCCCTGCCAAGGCAGAGGAGGAGAGTCAGGAGCAGAAACAGGCGGGTCTGCTCTGCCAGCTGCTAAAATCCCCCCTCCCTCAGCCAGCCCCGGTGCCCCCTCACTGCCACAACCTCCATCACCAATTCCTGGTCCCTGTCCAGGTGGGAGCCAAGGAAAGGGGGAGCCTGGAGAAGCTGCCCCAGAGCAGCCCCTCACTCACTTTTA